GGCTGAAAATTCCCATAATGAGAAATCCATGAGCCTAAATATTTGGTGTTTCTGATTTGCTCACTTCCTCAGGTTAATGTTTCTCCAACATGTTTCCAATTCTGTTTTTCAGTTGAATTCGTAGTTGTACTTTCAAAGGTGATGATTTGCAAATGATGATTTCCAGCCTACTGTATTCTGTGTAAGACAAAATGTCCATCAAGATGCCTGTAGGTGACATTAGTAGTGCAATCATTCAAAATGCAGCCTGACAGCATTTCAATCAATTCACTTTTCAACACTAGACATCAAATATACATTGCAAACCCAGCACCTGCTCTACTTGTAGTGTAACATCAAATAAGTTAGCCCCAGGTCCTAAGACAGAGGCTGTCTCTCTTGCACTGCTGGATTAAGAAGTGACTTTGGCAACCATACTGTCGGAGATTAACACTCTACCAAGCCTGGCTCTGAACCTACAATACAATCTAATCCTTTTACTCCTTATGTGTTTCTCTCTCAGCACAGACCACAGGAGCTCTGTGTCTAGTAGAGTCAGCCAAAATCCAGATCTTAGCCTCATACTGCAGATTCACATTTGCAGCAAAGGTGTGAGCAGAACGGCAGATTTACATCTCTAAAAATTTGCCCCCAGTCTGAGCTGCTTGGGAACAGCTTCCTCCCTTTTGTGACAGCTGAATTGCAGAACCTTGAGAAGTACCTTGAGAGGCAGAGTTTGCAACTGCTGATGCTGCCTGGGTGAAGGTGTCAAGACCTGCCTTTTTAAAACAGTGGGCAAAGCACTAGGATAGCATCCAGTTCCTGTCACACTTGAGGTGAATAGTTCCAGCTCTTGCCAACTCCTTGTGTCTCCATGCTATCCCACAAGTCAGGGTAGCAGTGCCTGGACTACCATAATACCACTGGACTACTACATACCACACAGCAAGACTGTTCAAGGCTTCTTCACATACGTAGGAATGCTGCTGCCACGCAAGGGACACTACAGCCTGCCTGAAGGAAGGATACTTCTCAGTAAGACGAGGAAATAAAGAATGAGACTTTCTACTTGGAAAGATCTTTATTGTGGGTTTACCAGCGCCCACGTTCCTCCTGCTTTAAAAAGTGGTAGTTTCAAGGACTAAGAGGAAGCCATGGACACTGCTAAGGGTTCAGGGTTGATTTTTTTTTGCTTGGAAACTGCTGAGTTCATGGAATCTAGAGCTTGCAGACATATGGCTGAGAAAGACCTCTGATAGTATTTCTGAGCATAACTTCCCTAGAGCCTAGTCCTACAAGTTAAGATCTTAAAAGCTTGAGGCACACAATAGGCTATAACAGATCATTCAAGGATACAAGGCAGGACTTTGGTCCTCCATTTTAGTTTTTGATTTTTCCTTTTTGGAGGATGATCATCTTGTGATGTTCTGTCCCAGTGAGACAGCTGTGTTCTGAGATCCAGGCTCTATCTGGAGACAAGCCAAGGAGATCAGAGCAAGAGTGCCAATAGGGCGGTTCTTGACTGCCTAACACCAAACACTGACAAAAGAGTAAAAGTGGTTCTAGAAGTTTTTGTATAAGGCTGTGACTAGATACCACTACAAACAAAAGATATGGAAGCGCCTGAGAAGGCAGATACTGGGTATACTAGGATTTCATGTTCAGAGGAACAGAAAGAACATATCAGCATTCATAAACCTTAGAAGGACAGTGTGAATCCCCCTCCTGTTTGCTTTAAGGCTTTAGTGCTGATGATGTAAGTCAGGAGGATTAGCAGCTGGGAGATGAAACAGGTGAAAGTACCATCCAGGAAGTGTGAACTGGTCATAATCATGGTGAAACCAAGGGGATCCAGTCCACTGTGCAGTACAGGTGTGGTCTGGGCCTTCTGAGGAGACCATAGGAGCAGTGATTGGGGTGCAGGTGGAGCGGGTTTATAAGGAGAAAACATCAATATGGTCTGTTTACCACATGTCTCACCATCACCTATGCTAGTTCTGTAAAAGATGTGATTTCCCATGACTACAACACCAAGTTCAATTCTGATTCAGTCCCAAGCACTAGGTGGAATGGTGGTAATCACATTAGCACACTGAACCTACAGCCAGAGGTTGCAAGTTCGTGTTTCTTATACGGGGCGGTCTTCCACACAACATAGTAAGTGGAGCGGCAAACATCTGTTCTTGTCATTAGCCTTGGGCCAATTGTTACCTCACCCTGCAGGAGCTACTTGCCATGGCTTTCCCCTTCTCTGTTGAGGGCACTGCCACAGTTATTGTCTCTACTCTTGCAAAGACTCTCCAAAGCATGACTGGGAGTTACACTTCCTGTGTGGCATGATGGAGGTTAATGTAGGCTTCAAACCTTCATGCAAGAATCAAACAGCTGAGCAGAAAAAGCTGACATAAATATTTGCAGTCCTAGCAGAGTTTGTGTGGGAAGAGGAATGCATAGAAGATGATGCAGTAGAAATAATATATGGACAAAGACTTCAAGAAAGGTAGGAAACCGTATGGGGGTGGAGAAGTTATTCGGAGCTGCTTAACTTGGTATTTCAGGGCTAGGGAGAGGCTCTACTCTCTGAGGAGTGACTGAATCTCTTCCTCATAGACATGTTGGGCTCTGGAGAGAGACAGGCTGAATGCCAGTAAACCCCAGGTGGGGGGTAAGGTCCCACTTGCCTGCTCAGTCTGCTCTTTGGGATATTAATCTGGCGAGTGCACTGTCAGCAGGCAGACTCGCAGATGGTAAAAGGACTCACAAGCCAGGCCTGAATGCTTGCTGTGGACACAGATGTTCTGTGAAGATTGCTTTGGTATTTATGTGAAACAACTGCTTTTTATTAAGAAGTGTTGAAACTAATATAAATATTTTTAAATGACTTTAGCATATTAAATTGTTGACATAACACAAATACAAATATTTCATAGAAAAGTGAATAAACATAAAGCTACACTACTTTGTAAATGAATTAATTAGTATTTATTATGGGAAATTACAATTAATTATTAAACATTACGATGACTTGCTTGCAGAATGGTATATTATTTTCACTATAATTAATAAATTCAATTATCAACTTTAAGTACTGGTGATTTCCCCTCACATCCCAGGGCACTAATTTTTATAAAGCATCTAAAATACACTAAATGTTTTTGTTCTGGGCAGGTTTGTAGTACAAAACAAGCAATTGAAGTCAACTTAATTTCCTAATTGCTAAGTGGAAAGAAAAGCTCTGGTTGTCCTTTGATCCGTTATGACCTAGCTTGGGACAGGTGGTTTGTATTGTGTAATAAAAATGTATTTCTACAATGTTTTTCTGCATCACAACTAAAAAGCCAAGAAGGCAGGTTTTACCCTGCTACTGTTGTTTATGTTATTTTTGTCATCAAACAAGAGTTTGTATGCTCTAAACCCTCCTTTCCTTTCCTGTCCCCTTACACCTACTGTATTAAATTGGTCTAAAAACCAATATTGCCTCACAGTTGTCTATAGGTTATGATGGTCTCACTGTTGCTAATCTGATGCTAACCTGTTCATCCCTACTACTACCTTGTGGACATCCAGTGATGACAACTACTACACAATACCCAGACAATCTGTTCTTGGGTATTTTCATTTGTCAAACAGGTGCATAACCCAAATGTACTTTTTTGGCCTGTTGCCATACATCTTCAGTTTCCCAAGTCTGTACTCTACTTCCCCTCCTTCATTTGCCTCCTGTAGCACCTCTGAGCCCTGGGATCTCTTGGGTTACTGTTTCTGACATCTTAGCACCTGATTGCTGTGCTTAAGACACAGAGTTTCTTGTGCAGAGATAAGCATTTTCACTTTTCCTTTGCCAAAATTAACTTTGCATCCAATACATTAGTAGAAATGGGAGTACTGAACCAAACTGTACCTCTAAGCACTTCTTATCGTCTCCTATGGAACCACAGCTGTCCTTAAAGTACCCTGTAGGTACTTGCTGATGGGAGTAACGACAGCTGTAAGCTGTTGCTACCATTCCCATGCCCTAACAATCAGCATCCAGTTCATGGCCAAAATAGATGATGGAGCTAAAGAGAACATCTGCATTCATTTGGTGATGACTGTCAGCTGTCACAGGCAGGCCAGTCACAAACTGTGAATGCTATGAAGTGGATTAGCAAAGCATTTTTCTTAACATTGAGAAGCCAAAGACATTGTCTATGGATGGTAGGATTGCTTTATGGTTTCTCAAAAAGTGTTTTGTGCCAGAACAAAGCATAGTTATTCTACTTCTACTAGAAGTGGGATTTAAAAATATATGTAAACAAAATTTTACACCTTCTTCTTTGAATTCCTGAATAACCTTTGTACTAATGAATGAGTAGGCTGTGCCTGTTGTGAGTAGGTTTGGCTACTTGGGATGGGAAGAGGAGCATTATTAAGAGTTCTTTTTAGATTTTTTTTTTAACTTTTTCAATTAATTTCCTTATTTTCCTAATGGAAAACAACGAGTATTTTGTTGAAGTTGCTGGATGGATATTCCTTTTTATCTTCACAAGTCCTGGAGGAAGGAAAGAATCCCAGCAGTGGATTCCCAGACTTACTTCATCTCCTAGTCTGGTCTGTTATGTCTATCATATGTATTAGAAGCAGCTCTGTTTTATTGCTACCATCTTTTTATGTTGAAATTCTACATCATGAGGAGTGGTTAGCCATTGAACAGGTATCTGTAGCTGGTTGATAGAGATTTGAGAACACTGATCAGATGTTAATAAGTCATATTACCAATAACTGTGCAACTTTAATAATATTACCTAATTATTTTGCATCGAAATATTTTCAAAGTAGTAACTTAATTTTACTATAGGAGGTTATGTGATGAATATGCCTTAATTCAGCAGAACAGTTATTTTACAAAATCAGCTATTGTCATGCCTTCTATTTTGATGCAGTTACAGTGATGTTTTCCCTCTAGCAGAAAGTGATTAAGATGGAGTCTTTAGCAATAATTAAATATTAATTTTGATATTTTTTTTCCACATCTTGAACAGTATCTACTTGCTGCAAAGCACTTGAATATGCTCTGCTCAAATGGAAGACAGAAAAATCCTGCTGTCAGAGTGGAGCGAAAACTATGAAAACGTAAGTGGTGATTCAAATTTAGAAATGATTTCACTGAAGCTGGATTTCTGCTGTTGTTGCTCACTGCAGTAGTGTTTGAAAGTCTCACAAGTTGGAAATCTGTCGTGCTGTTGAAGCTGTACTGACACTGGACAGAAAGGTAGCTGCTGCATGGAAGTGTGTGTTTAAGCAACCAGGTTGGAGGTTCCATTTGTTTGCTTGCTTTAGTGCTTTCCTTGTTGTTTTTTTTTTTTTTCTTCTTTCTTGAGCGGTAATTTAAACTTATGTTGAAAGCACATACTGTATTAATCATCTAGAATACACTAAGATGTTGCTATTTGAGCAACACTGAAGCTATGGAAAACCCTTTCTGTGCACTGTTATGAAGCAAGTTCTCTGTTCTTTGGCCATCTTCCTTCCTGTTCTTAAGTATGTTGAAGAACCATGGTAAATTGAGTGAGGGCTAGCACCATCGACCAAAGACTAGAGGAAGTTGTATTTAAGAGATGTAGCTTTACCTCCAAAACAGAATGGCAGAATGTGCCTTCTCAAAAGAGCATTAAAAAAAAGTAAATTGTGGCTGTTTCACTGCAAAATGCTTAGTTTGTTCATGTAATTGCTCTGTCATATTAGTGGTTGTACTGTTGTACTATTCAGCTTCACTAAAATACTTTATTCCCAGGATTCATCTGTTAGACGAGCTCTGAAGGTCATCTAAGTTCTGGGTCCAATAGAAGTTTTTTTATCTGCCTTGAGGCAGAACTGGGTTTTAAACGATCTAAGGCCTTCCTTTCTGCATTATGGGGCCTTAGTTCCTTGCCCAAATACTTGGTGTGGATTATATTTTAACTCTGTAGCCAGCTAATAAATTATAAAAAGTTTCATTAGTTTTTCATAGCAACATTACTTTAGTCAAGGCCTGTGGGAAAGGGGAATGTGTGAGTGTGTGTCACTACATACATGTATGGTGTGGGAATGTGTACAGATGCTGGTAAAACTTGTGATATGGACTGCTATTGCAATTAATTTTTTATCAATGTATCGATGCTAATATAAACAACTCCACAGGATTTTTCCATAATGCACAGAGGAGAGAAAAGCTTGTTTGCAGACATATTTTATGCAGTAAAAAAGTTAAAATTAAACTATTTAGAACTTCAGAAATTGTTTTTTTCTATTTCTTTGACCCTTGCTATTCAGATTCCGAAGGCATTAAAGCTGTGTGCTTTTGTTTATCTCATTACAACTCTAAATACTGTCAAAATAACTGAACGAATTATTGTATTTAAGTATATACTCAGCACTAATTATTCTGTGCTGTAGTTCAGTGAATTCAGGAAATTATTTTCATTGAACAAATTTCTATTGGTAAAAGGTTTACATTTCATCATGTGATGCTGTATGTCCCAGGGTTAGTTGATGTTTCATTCTCCTAGTATTTTTTTTTTACTGGCTTATCTACTTGTTTCTTCCCCCACATTAACACAATAAAGATTTTATCTACTCTGTTAGTAACTAGGGTACATCTAGACAGTCGTGAAAGCTTCTGGTCTTTTGTAATTAAAATGTTTTCGGCTTAGTGTCTTGAAAGTAGCTGTAGCAATCCTAAGCATGCGAAGAAGGCATAGAAAATGAAGCACTGGGGTTATAGGGGGAATTCAATAATCTAATGAATTAAAGAAGAAAGGCAACGAAAATTAATATTAGTAGTGTCAGTTGTATTACATTACTACATATAGTTCATTTTAGTTGGTAGAACATCTGATACAATCAGGATCACATCTGTGTGTGGAATCATAGACACAAAACTGTGTGTGCTGTGCCCTGAGGAACTTGCACTACAACACTGACAGTAAGGAAAGGAAAAGGAGATAATGCTGCTTATGATCTACTCCTCTCTCTTAATTACATATGCATCTGTGAGAGCAGCTTTGAAAAATACTGAAAATTAACAGGGGTTTAAAGGTGCCTACAGACTAGGAAGAAAATGCAACAGCTGTGACTTACACTTGCATAAAAAATTAATACTGCCCTTTATAGAACATTGTCTAATACTAAAGGGCCAAACTAAGGCAGAAGGGCAGTTCCATAGCTAGTGTAAGCTAGCACAGCTTGTTGATTTCAGAAAAACTGAGTTGCTTGCTACCAGTTAAGGCCCCACATGCCACTCAAGTATTAGGACAATGTTTTTGATGTGTCCTTTAATTAAGTCTGAGTGCATGAGTTATTATTCAGAGTACAGAAGAAGTTTCAAAAATCGCTTCCCCCATGAAAGTTCATTGAAACGCTTGCCCTAAGAGATCTTAAATTAAGAAACAAGAAGAAGCCACAAAATCCTCCTGAAGAAATTCAGAAGAGGTCAGAGGGAACTGACACACAAGACTGACCATATTCATGACATTAGAGTCAGTCCATGCTATGTTTCCACCTGCTGCATTTTATGCCTATAAATTCCTTCAAACCAACTAAGTATAAACCAAATACAATGGCAAGCAGTATTTCAGCCTTGTAGAGCTGGGGATACTTGCTCTACTTATTAATTTTGTGCTTTAGGTTACTTCATACAGATGGTGAGATAGAGCAAAAAGATTTATGTTTAGATTTATTGGGGGATCTATTTTTTTCCCTCCTGGCTGACATCAATAGGGCTGTGTGTTGCATTCACTCTAATCCAAAGCATGTCCTGAGAAAGTATGGAGAGAGCCCCAATTGCAGCCCTTCATTCTGACAGGTCACAACTGTATTGTTCCTGAACAATAAAGGTTTTATAAACAAAGTCTGACTAGAAAGATGGTGAATTGTTGTACTAAAAAAGAGCTTTGCTGAAAGCAAAACAAGGCAAGAGAAACAGTGTACGGCCTAGAAAATGCTTATGAACATAAAGTTAAATACCAGGTCTAGAGTAAGACATTGATCAATTGATGTCAGAGGAACTGTGCCGCTTTACAGCAGTGCTGAATTTGTACTATTAGTGTTTATACCACATAGTGTATAAGCTTTACAGTTAAAGCGAAAATAAACCTATAGACACAGAAGGAACTTAAAAACCTGATTACTACTGACATCAAAGGGATTGCTCGAATGCTTCAAGATAGGCATATAGTTAGGCTTCTTGTTGGGGACTTGACAGAGGCTGTGAATGATGTCCTTCTGCTTGCATTGCCTATCATAGTCATCTCATGTTTCCTTAAGTTACTATTTCCAATGACCATCTGTTGCCATTCATCATAAATTTAGCACCGTTCCTGGAAACTTCCCCTGGCAAGGCTCGCTTCAAATATTTGAGTATTAATCTGTATAGAAATGTTTTAACAAATACTGGAACTTGCTCCTTTGAAGTGTGGCCATCTTTTCATTACATGACACACAGTATTTGGTGCAATGGATGCCCAGGTGCTCTGTGGGTTTAAAGGAGCATGAGTGAGTAATTTGTGCCACTGCTGACTGAGGGACACAAAGGAATGGCTTTCTGGGAAATGCAGAGCATGACAGGAAGCCTCTTAAATTGTGATAGCTAACACTTTGGAGTTGTTCAGACATGTATATGTAATAGAAATTAAAAACAATGCCACCAAAGTAATCCTGCTAGTTTATCCTTTGTATGCTGATTTTTATATGATCTCTTTATCTGTGTAGATACTAATCAGTAGGGGGAAAAGTGTTTCAGTTCATCCATTCCCTCTTCAGACATGTTCTGCAAAACGTAGGTTGTTTTCCTCTCCCTTGCAGCCATAGGTCTCTGAAAAAGAAGACTCATATTAGTGCATTACATTGTTATAAGAGCTGCTAAAGTTTTTAATTTTGGTTGCTGGTGCCCAGAGGACAAGTAATCTGTTATTAAGCTAATCAGCCTTATGCTGTAGTGCATCAGTTTGATAAAATTAGTGTTAAAAATCTGGTGTAAGTATTTTTGCAGCCTTCATGTGCTAGCAGAAGGTAACACTTTTCCATGAGAGGGTCAGTTTAACAAGGAGATTTAATCTGATGCTGGGTGGGGGGTGGTCGAGAAGGAGGGCAGAAGGGAATGAAACTTTTCATGCTCACCTCTGGTTCTGAATAGCTACAGCAAGAAGCTTTTACCAAACAAAAGTTTCAGTAAAGCAGGTGGTCGAAAGGCTGTAACAATGGAGAAATTACTACTTTTTTGCTTTTTTGTTGTTAGGTTTTTTTTTTGTGTGTGTGTGTGTATTTGTTCTTTTTGAAGCATTCTGAAGTGCACCTAAGAAGACTGAACAATTACTTACAAACACTATAATTAACTGCCTCTTATTAACATACAGATAACAGAAGATTAAAAGTACCCACAAGCTATTTTGTTTTGCTTTTAGACTAAACCTGGGATGGAGCTTGAAAAAGAATTGTTAGTGTGTCAAGTCAGTTTTAGACAAAAACTGGGAAACTTGGATAGGTCTGAAAAATAATTATTACACTGTACAGCTCAAGCTTGTAGTTTGGTGAAGCTGAAATCCAGAGTTGCTTGAGATTTGGTTAGATCCTACTAACAGTGTTTGGTGTGTTTCTCAAGAAACAAGATGCTAGAGTTTCTGCATCAGGATTGCTTGGGGTGGGGACTGGTGCCATCCAGGTTTATCAAGTTGAATTTTGTATTCTGCAGCCTTAATCGGCCTGAAGCTAATTAGCAGCCTCTACACAATAAGGCCGCAAGTCATTAATCATAGCAGATGAGAGCAGTCAACCCCCATCCTCGACATTTCAAGAAAAGTTTACTTAATTTTTTTTTGCTTTTTTTTTTTTGCGTGTGTGTGTGTGTATGTATTAGGTATTCAGAAGTCGCAAGACTGCCTTTTGTGGTCAATAGTGTGTGAAGTATAAGCCGTGTCTTGATGTGACAGACAAGGGACCACTGTTCAAGGACCCATTGGACTTTTTTTTTTTTTTTTTTTGAATGCTGTCCTCTAACAGAATGAAGTCAAGTGATGACTTTATTTGCTTTGAGTTGAAGCATAGTTCAGCTGGGAATAAAAAAAAAAAAAAAGTTTAACAAGTATGATTTTTGTTAA